TAGACAGATTTGGCTCAAGTGTTGTCCTGGGTTTATTTGACCTTTTTAATACGACTATCACAATCGTTTAGCCCGAAATCAAAATAGTCCAAATCATCCGCGCTACAGGCGCCGGTGATGTGGGTCACTTTGGCGCCAGCGCCTCTAGCGCGGGCGCCAGGAGGTTTTGAACCCAGCGGATGTAATATTCTTTTTGTTTAGGAGGTCAGACTACACCTGGGAACAAGTTTTCAGCGAATTTGATTTTTTAAGGTATTTTGGCCCGGCGCCTGTGGCGGCGGCAGAAGTTTTGTGCCGAGTGGATGTGGTATTCATGTTCACCAGGTGAAACTACCTTAGGGAACAAATTTTCAGCCACCTCTGCTAACGCAGAAAAAAAGTCGGTCTAAAATGACCGGTTTTTGGAATATTGGGGCATTAAGGTAAATAGTGCCAAAATTTCTATTTTGATTTTTGGGATATTATCATTGTGGAATCTTGTCCAGCAGGGTGATTTGGTCTCTAGGGAGGGAGGAAAGTAGTGTTTGGCCTTTTGATTTTCTACTTCTGTGGTCGTTAGAGTAAACAAAAGAAATCGCCTGGCGATGAACGATTACTTTTGAAATGGATCACGCATTCAACTTGCATATACGGATAAAGTCTGCGCTGTTGATCAATCGCTTTTGGGATGCGGTACGCGTTCTACTTCCAGCCAGAATCGTAGTGGCTTACTGAATGCGATGTGGCCTATACAATCATTTGCGGAGACACAGTCTACTGCCTCGCTACTATCCACTCAGACAAATCTGGTACCCATTTACCGTCCCAGAAGGGTAAAGGGCTTTGTTTGTCTCAGCGGGACAGTCCGGGAATCAAACACGCCAAACCACATTCGCCTCATTCATTCGCCGTTTGCGGATAGAGTGTTGGCTTCAAGGAACGCGAGTGCCTGTGAATACGGACTAGCTATCAGCTCTCTGCTGCGAATCAGTGTTTTTGTTTTCCGATATGCCTTTAATGTTAGCTAGCCGGTCTCTGGTAATGAAGGAATCTGACTTGTCTAGTATGCGATCCCAGATTTGATCCTCAGACCATCAGAAAGAGCCCTTTGGTACGGCTCCATCTTGTGACGGGTGCTTTTGGAGATATTTATCCTCGTCGCGAATGTCCACTTGCAACACTTGTATGTTAAATTGTTAATCTATGGTATTGGTTCAGTCCATAGTGAGTGTATTGTATTGTTATCTATTTCAGGGCAGCGCAATTACACAAGTTCGGGAGCATGGCTTTACGCCAGATAAGGAGTTGACATATAGGCAACAGGCGACAAGGTTTATTCAGATTATGGTAGATCAGTTAAATCATCAACGTTCGTGACCAACGAGGAAAAATGTGAGCATCAGTTCTCATGGTCCTTTTTCTTTGCCCTTCCTTTCTGCTCAGTACTTAAAGACACAAGGTACGCTCAAACACCATTGAGGGTGTATGAGACTATCAGCCCCCCCCCCCAGCTGTCGATGTGTCGTGGTCCCCCGCCCAAAACTGCACGGGGTCAGAGTACGGGGCCGTGGGAAAGTCGTAATTCCTTGCTACACCGCCCTCACGTTTATGCTAACACCATCCGCGCGGCGCGGTCGCGTGCAGCTCTTGGCTTTTTGCCAAGTCCTGTAATTGCGCTTGGAATACAAGTACAACGCAATTTCTTTATGTCGATAACATTTTAGTTTCTACAAAATAAGAACTGAAGACGATGACGAGGACTAGAACTCAAGAGCAACTGTGCTGATTCTGCAACAGACCTCGCAAGCAGCGCATTCCCACAGATGACAATAAAAACGGACAACATGACTGTAAAACACAATGACCAATACAAGCAAAAACGCAATTTCCTAACATTTGAGGTATTGCTCTTGCTTCAAAGTCCGAATAGAAGGTGATGAATGTGACAAAGGCTAGAAATGAACAACAACGAATGTTGATGTAAATAAAACAATTGAAAAAACTAAGGAAACCCAATAAATTAAAATCGCGTGTGCATTTCTGCGATCCGGCTCGAATCCGGCTCTAGTGTATAGAAATACTTCAAACTAACGAGTGGGACGCTTAGGCCGTTTTTATTTTGATGTTTTGAGGGAATGCGCTGCTTACGAGGTCTGTTGCAGAATCAGCACAGTTGCTCTTGAGTTCTAGTCCTGTCATCGTCATTCAAGTTCTTATTTTGGTAGTAAAAAATTTCGACATAAAGAAAATTGCAGTTCTACTTGTATTTCAAAGCGCATACTAGGAATTGGCAAAAGCAAAGAGGAGCTGACGCGCTGACGTTTAGTAAAAACGTGAGTTTGCAAACGGGGCCTCGGCTAGCGCCCAAGTGAATTAACGACTGTTTTTCCCCAGCTGGTCGTACTCATGTCCGTGCAGTTTTTTGGCGCGGACCAGCACGACCATCGACAGCTGGGGGCTTGTTAGACCTCATACACCTGCCTCGATGTGTTGAGCGGTTTACCATGTGTCTTTAAACTAATGGCTCATGCTGTTCCATGAGTCTGCGGTCAATAACAATGACCGAATCTTTTCACTTTGAAACAGTCATATGTTCAAAAAAGTGTTTGGAAGCGATAAGCGTGGTAAATCGAAGTGAATTTCCATTCCACACATATTTGTAGTTGTTGTTGTTGAGGCAACTGGCAATTTGCACCAGTGAAAATGATTCTTTTTTAGTTCTCAATTATGTATGTGTGCAGCAATCATGCATATGCATCGGTTCTTTTGCTTTCACTCCTTCAAGTTCTTCGACTACAGGGTTGGTATCCTTCTTGATAATAGATTAGCTCTTGTGGCGTTACCTTGCACATGACAGTAACTGTTGGCTACATATACAGGACGTGGCGGCTGCATGCTTGTTTTTGGCTGGTAAGAGTGAGGAATGTCCGAGAAAGTTGGATCACATCGTGCGCGTTTGGTGGTCAAAAAAGTTTGAACGACATCCTACGATTCCTTCAAATAACGTAAGTTCCTTTCAAAATACTAACAGTATTAACGCCTTATTATTAATTGGTTGAAAGTCATATTTTTTTTCAAGTGGACATGTGCGGAATTATTGTGAACATCGACAGAATTCTCAAGAAGTTTGCCCAATTAATTTTTGAAATGTTTATTTCGCATTCTGGAAACCAAGAAGATCTACAATATTATGGTTGAGTAGGATGAGACATAAATTCACTGAGCCTCCGAATACGAATATCACATTCGTTTGACCAAAAAACGTCGTTAGCCTGTCTCATTCCGGATAGGCGCTGGCGCCAAGTCAAGCCATCACAAGTCTCGTTGAACTCTTGCCTCCGTGGGGGGGGGGGGGGGTATGTGACAAGAGGATCGTAAATCGCCTCGCTTCTGGGCGTCGCCTACGACGTCTCGTCTGCAAAGGACGAAGGTTCCAGGTAGTAGATGGCAAAAACATGCAATTAAGTACCGAAAACAGTAATGACTGTCTACGATGACGGTCATTACTGTTTCACTGTGGGTCTACATGAAGCCTGGTGCTCCATTCGACAGGTTAAAACGAGTTATGAAGACGCCGCGTCCATCGCCGCGCGTGGCGGTGCGGCAAATTACGATCCTCTTTACCTCTTTACCGTCTCCATCCGTGGGGAGTGTTCTGGCTGCGAATGTCACTTCCGTTGAGCTCGAGAACGCTCGGTTCGAAAGCAGTGGCCGCCAGCTGAGGCGTCGGCCGCACGTTGTGATCATCACAAGCGGGGGGGGTGGGGATCGTTAGATGGTACAGTTCACGGACGCACGTATTTCCGACACTTGATGAAATAGTTTGAATACTGACCGCCCCGCCCACCGCTTCGAAACGTCCGTCGATGAGAAGACAGAGGGCTGGGAGGGGGGGGTCGTAATTTTCAGAAAATGATCACAACGCGATGGCGTGCCCTGGCGGCCCCAGGGATTGCCCACGTTTTTGGAAACGTTTCCTGATGCTTATTAGATCTCCCGCTTTACTTTACTCAAGTTTTACTCTAACTTTGCTTTCATTAGTATATTTGTTGATTTTAAAAATCATGGATCCACTTCTTCTTTTCATTTGTCTTGTAGGCGCATACACAGGGTGAATGCGCAAAATGTCACCGGTACAATGTTGTTCTACCCACCAATTCGTTAAAACGTCCCATACTTAAAAAAGCAAGTATTGTACTTTAAACACAGTCGTTTCATTCAAATCCAGTTCAAGGAAATCTGATGAAACTGTAAGCTTTTTATGGGTGTATAGTGGATTAAGCCTTTTTTTTCCCCAAACAAGTTTTTTTATATATTAGTAACTGGTGAACTGATATCTTCCTTTCCCTCACGAGAGAATTACAGCATTACATCGAGGCAGCGCAACTTATTGTGCAGTTGGAGAACATTATCCTTCAAACGATAGGTAAGTGCTTTTAGCTTGTGTGTATAATTGTCAATATTACGTTATCGGGCCCTCTACGTATATTATTTGCGACGAAAATGTGAAAAAGTAAGGCACTTAGAGTTATGTTTAGCATTTGATCTGAAGGTGGAGATGCCTCATCCCTTCGTTCTCTCTGCTATGCACGAGATCGCCCCTAGTAAGGAAATTACAACCTTGTTCTATGCTTTCCCATCAATCAACGACCTAAAACATTCCACTGTTTTCAGATAATAAGAAGCTCACAGAATGTGCATACTTCTTTGCTACCGATGTGTAAGTTCCAGAATTTCTTTGTGGGGCGTAACGAACTGATCAAGCTTTTTTGTAGTAGTATTCATTTTCATTTTTTTTTCTGTTGATTCGTATGGTTTGAAGCAGAATTTACGAGCTTGCCCCAGCGACGACTAACGTAGGAAAGTCGCAGCCTCATCACATCGATGGCTAACGCGCAAGGAATTCGTCAAGAATGCGTCTAACTTATATAACGATTCTTTTGGCTGCGGAGAAGAACGCGGTGTTGGCTTTGAAGTAAAATTGGAACCGCACGACAGGTGATGTGATGAAGCTAAAATGTTCCCCACTGCTACTTATCCGTTCTCCTGTGGAGGTTCTACTCTTGAGAACGACATTACGAAAATTTTTGCAAAATATGAGTACCTCCCCTCAAGATTTCCTGTGCTACGACCCGCTGCCGTATAGCACACTTAGAATAGGAAAATTTGAGAAAAGTTTACAAAATGGCTCACCTACAACAACTACGATTTAAAGGCTGATACCACCTTCTTCTTTCTAGCGACAATTACGACCCCTCTTCCCGCTAGGGATCCCCGACGTACGACGTGCTCTAAGAGTACTTTTTTTATTGTTCCGGACCTGTTCACCTCGTGCTCGGTACCTATCTACCCCAGATGTAACATTGCTGTGTCCTTTATGTGTGGTGGGTAGATGCGCTCGAAAGCTGCGAACTTTTACAAACAAGCGACAGGTTAACTTACCAGAATACGTAACTCGTTTAATTACTCCTATATTCAAATTTGATTTTTTTTCGAGGCTTTGGTAAGATGTGTTGCACGTCGTGCCACGTATGCATTAGGCTTTCTCTAGAAGGTACGTCAGCGTTGGGTTAGTAAACTTGTGCAAAAGTTCAAATCTTACGTTCCTCTTTTCAAATTTCATTTCGTAAATGTATAAATCAAATCAGTTCGTTGCGGTTCAAATGTGATCAAGTACAGAATAACACATTTTAATCATATTTCATTTTTAGGTTGTGCGTGACGAACTGGGCGATACGATACAACGCGAGAGCAATAGCTAGCGTTTGCGTGCATCTCGTGTGTGTGTACGCCGGATACGAGGTGCTGGTCAACCCTTGTTCCCCATTCTGCCTAGAGCGCGCTTTGTAATGCGAGCTGAGAGTGATTTCGGTGGAAGCGATCATGTGCGGGAGGGTTCTAGTGTCATCACGTGTTCAAAACTTTCACGTTGATTCGGCACGGCCCGCACACGATCCCGCCAATTCCCTTGGCCGCTGGCAAGTTTCTCGGGGCATTTGGGCAAACATTCATGACACGAAGCAGAGGTATGTCAATTGTGTGCCTCTGAAGATTTTTGTTTGAATTCATATTTTCGACTTGACAACTCTACACTTCACCGCTCTGAGTTCAGTCGGACAAGATTCCACAATTGAAGCTCAATCTCATGATAAACTGATGATTTCGGAGCGGGAAATGTAAAGAATAAGAGCGAGTTCTAAAAGAGCCGAAATGCCGAATAGCACAACCCGTGAGAACGACCCAATAGATGGGTATAGATCCCGTGTTATGGGGAAAAGGAAACTGGCGATCAGCAAAAATGATCATCATACACATAGTGGTTATTTAATTGGAATGCAATATGTGCTTTCTGATCGTTTCTTATGACGAGTATCAGCGCAAAGCGTCCGTTTAGGTTTCCGTCATTTCGCCAGTTTTCTTAATGTTTGAAGTTTGGCCCTGAACTACAATATAGGAAGAATGCCTATATGAGCCATTTTTCTTCCTTCGGGTTGTTGGTGATAAAAAAATTGGAAGTCCCTTCTGATTTCTGCACAACACGGAAGGCTCCGAAGTTTTGTTCAAAAGAAGTCGAAAAGGATCAAACGAGCCCAAAAATTTATAAAGCTCTTGGATATTTCTGTGCCTAGCGCCTTCCTTGTGTGGCCTTAATGACCCTATTATGGAGCGGTTGCTCTTACGGGGGTCTCTCTTCTCGGAGAGGAACTAAACCGATTCGAATTTGAACTGAAACAGAACAGGAGTTCGACCAGAAGCTTATGGTTGCGGATTGGCATATCAAGGAATCTGGGTTTTTTTTCGACTTTGGGTTCTTTTGAGTGTTTTGGTATCCTTTAACTCTAGGGTGCGTCCTTGTTGTAAAGTCCAATGGCATTTTCTATCAGACTTCTCGGGAACATTACTGAAATGGACACTCTACTTCACCAGAAGTTTCTTTTTCTTCGATCAATGCAAAACGGTTTCTTATAGAATGAATTGCTTGGAGTAAAAGATAACAAAGTTGTAGTGACTTGAAATTGTAGGAAATTGAAATCGTTTTGCTTACCGTTACTCGCTGTGAAATAGTCCGTCCTGATGCCTTTCAGTCGTACTGCGGCAAGGGAGTTCCCTTGGCACTGTCATAGTGTTTCCAACTTGTTCTCCGCCTTTATTTGCTGTGTCAAGCACCTTATAAGTATACTTCAGATTCCACCTCCTGCTCCTGGGGAGAAGGCATGGTTCCAAAAACTGGATGCGGACATGACTCAGGATCTTTTGACTGGTACTGATTTGTATAATTCCCTAGTTTAATTCATCCTACGTGCGATAGCATCGCTCATCCTCTTTTAACTTGCAGAAATGTCCCAAGAGTTCGCGAGCATCTACAAGTCGTGTCGAGAATGGTTGGCTCTCACCCGTTTCGTTGCGAAGGGAATTGTCAAACCATCGACACCGAGTCCAAATCCATCACGAAGTGGGGCCGAGGAAAAGGAAATACTTCCACCCCCTCCACCACCACCGACGTTTCATAAGAAGGTCGACCTCTCGGAGTACAAGGTATTTTTTTTTGCTCATTACGTCATATCTTCGATTTTTTGTGGACACTCAGACACTTCTCACTCTCCATTGCTTTCAGGAGCGTACGAAATCACTTGCGCCTGGCGAACGCTCCGGTGCTGACCGTGCGCCTCCAAGACGGAGTTTTATTCCGGACACCTCACAAGCTAGGCCGGATCTCTCGATGCCGACTCTCAATTTACCTGGGCAAGAACCTGTAGCACCTCCGCCAGCTGGTAGGTTGAGCATGTCTTTGTTATTTTCCTCGCAGGATGATTAGGACAGTGCTTCTGTCCTTCCCAATTTTTTTGGTGGATAACTTAACTGTTGAACTTTTGTAGTCCTAAAGAAATTGATATCATTGTTTGGAAATTGTGCGGAAATACAGTGTACTTTTTCTGGTATCACACAAATAGCAGCCGTCGTTTGAAGATATATTCCTTTTCAGCACCAGTGCACGAGAATGGTCACAAATCGAGGGATGAACAAAGCAGGCGGGAAGAGGAGCGAAGAAGGGAAAAAGAGCGGCGTCGACGTGAAGAAAGGGAGCAGCGTCATGGTCATTCCGAGCGTCCAGAAGATAGAGAACGACGCAAAGAAGAAGAAAGACGGAAACGTGAACATGAACGGATGTCAAGTAGTGGGCAGTCTAGTGGATTGCATCCTCCTGCGTATGTTTTTTTTTTCACATAATCTACTAATTGTCTCCTTCAAAATTTTCACCTTTTGGGAATTTTAGCGAAAAAAGACCTCGTCACGAGTCTTCGTCGTCGTTTTCGCATTCGGTCGGTTCATCTGGTAGTGGCGGTGGATCTTCATCAAAGCCACGGCCTATGGCACCAGTGCAAGTGCAGCATCACTCCTCTCTTCATGGGCACACTCAGCCAGCCAATGGTTCACATGTTCGAAGCGACAAGGATATAATAAAGGTAAATTGTTGAGCGAGCTCACTTGAAATTCTTGCGAAAAACTCCAACACTGAGTGAATACACTTCCCCAAACTAACCACTATTTCGATGTACTGCTCTCGTATACTGACTTTTGTCTGTCTCCTTTGCTTTGCGAAAAGTCATTTGTCGCCGATAATTAGCACTCTTTTCTGCAGCAACCGAAAAGCTTTTACTTCTTGTAATAGTGGGAATGCTTACCAGCTAAGGACACGTTGCACTTTGAACTTTATGTCTCTTTCCACTATCCTGTATTCGATAGCACTTGTTGCGGAAATGTTGAAAGCGTATTCGCTGTCGACGACCAAACAGCGTTGCAACAAGGGTTTTAGCACGCCACTAAAGACAGTTTCCGCGATCAAGTGACCCGCCCGCGCGGATTCGGCACTCGGGTCCGCATGGAAATGCGCGGAGGCATATCACAGGTCACTTGATCGCGGGAAATGTCTTCAACGACGGTAGCGTGCTAACACGCTTGCTGCAACGCTGCGTCCTCGTCCTAGAGAAAATGTACCTTTTTCGTCACTCAAAACGGCGATGTAGAGAAGCTAGAGTCGCGTGAGTATTGCAACCATTGCAACCACGATGACTTTCACTCTGCAAACAGCGGTTTACAAGCGGATTCGTACGTGTACATGGTTGCCTGGAGCGTCGTAGGGTGATTCCCTGTGCTATTGCCGGGAACTGGTTGCACCTCGAATCCTGCTGATTTGGATCTGCCGACGTCCGACAACTCGTTCCAACTGCGCTGGCTTCACTGCTAAGGGGGGGGGAGTCTCTGCTCAAAGAGTTTTCAAGGTTTTTTTTTCGCTTCTTTCCCTACTGGGGAGTGTGTATGGGCTATTGTTTCATGACTGATCACCTACTACCCGTAACACTTGATCGCGGGAATTGTCTTTGAGAGAAAGAAGACCGTGCAACGGCAGTCAAATGCGAGAATGAACTGACAACTAATGGGCGTGACTATAGTTGGGCTATGGCGTGGGGGATGCATGGCCGTGCGGCGTGTTGCGTGTCTGTAATGTGCTCTGCGCGTGTTAAGTAGCAGACAGACACAAAGGACATCCACTGTCACAGCGCTTTGGATTTATAGTGGTTGTTTTGCTCTTTACAATTGACCAGCGCACCTCCCATATGGAAAGGTTCACTGCACAGCTTGTATAGTGTGTGTTTATTGTATGGTCTGCCCCACTGTGTTCATATGACATGATCGTTCTGGCGTAATGGCACATCAACTTGCTCACACTAAATAATAGTCTGCTTTCGCTTTTGTTATTAATTGCTTTAGACAGCAAAATTCTACATTTACAGATTACTAATGAGCCGGCGGTTACGAACAGATGGGTCGCTTAATATATGAAGAAATGTTAAAAGTCCGCATAGTAAGCTTTACGGTAGTCTTGCTCGATTTCGATATTCCTCTGTTCGTTCACGCTTTTCGCGATGTGACTTAATTGTAGAATACGACTTGGGAAGTGGATATTCACTCATGTGAGGTTGTTGCAACACATGCAATGTTCTAATGATTGCAGAATTCATCGCAGTTCTGCCGTGCCATGGAACCGCCACGAGCGTTGTCGCCTCCACCTTTACCTCCATCGGTGCTTCCTCCGCCACCTCCGCCACCATCTGCAATGGCTGAGCTTGAGGATGGCGAGCTGGAATGATCTCGCCTTTGTAATAAGTTCTGCCGACCGTGTTGCTTAGATATTAATGAATAGCTAGAGTTCGCGCACCCTGTAGGCGCAAAAGTAGTGAAATGGTTTGAGTGGTAGTTCAATTTTTTTTCAGATTAGTAACGGGTAAAGCTTTGCTTAGAAATCGTCGTGGTTCACATAATTCTGTTTCAGTCGATAGTATGTTATGTAGATCGGGTCTATTGTGTTCTTTTCTTGTCTTCGTAAACGTACGCGTATTTCTTCTGTATGTATATGTATGAGTATGAAAAATCTCAAAATGTTGAAAAAATATTGGCGATCCTCTTGAATGTTTGGGTAATTCTAACGATATTAATGTTTATATTCTCTATGTTTTGTTGTTTTTTGATGCGTTTAAGCAATTCTCGTTTGACCATCTGGATCCATTTGTTTCTTGGCCCAGAAGTGACACATACACTCTCAACACAATTGTTCATATTTGATGATTTGTTACAAAACTTTGTTGTTGATTTTAACTTAATTGGAGGTAAATGTTGTATAATATACTAAGTGATGAGTATAAATTGTTCTAGCGAAAATCTTGAAAGACATAACAGCAAAAGGGCTGGTGGTACCGTGGCAAGGACACACTCGCAACGTGCACGGTTTAGGTGTTACATCCCGGACTGACTCCCGCCCGGGGTAACTAAACCCTCTATCGGGGCGACAAATTGGTACCAGATCGCCTGAGAGGATAATAACACTGAGTTTTCATCGTGTGACCCACGTAGGTATTATATAGGCCACATTGCATTCAATGAGCCACTACGGTTTTGAATGGAAGTAGAATGCGTGCCGCATCCCACGAAAGGGATTGATCAAAGGCGAAGTCTACACACTCTTACATTAGAAAGTACATATAACCTAGGCAGGTTCCGGAAAGGGGGGGGAGGATGATTCAGAGGGACTCGAAGGTAATAAGCGCGTTGGCTAGCCGGAACATCAACTTGGGCGTCTTTGGTAGATGAGCATTTGCTCACACCAATAGGAGTGTGGCTAAAGGTCCTTTCGTCACACTACATTTGAGCTGACGTGCAGCCAAGGCACGCCATCGCGTTGTGATCATTCCCTGAAAAATACGATTACCCTAATTCTATCCTCAAATACGACCCCCCCCTCTCCCCATGCTAACCTACCACTTTCCTAGATACTCCCCAATTTCCACTACTTTTTCCATTTTTCTCGAAAAATTTCCAGTTTTTCAGCCAAGAATTTTCCGTCGAGCGGGGAGGGAGGTATATACCCAATGTGAAACAGGAAAATTTCTCAGATTCTCCTAACCTCCTACCAATTTCCGAAACTTTTTTCTGGCTTTACCCCAAAATTTTGCTGTCGAGTGGGGGGGAGGTCGTCAGGATTTAACTATCATTTTCAACTATCGGAAATAGTAGTTGTATAGATCTTTGGCAGTCCCTCTCTCAACAACGGCCAAATACGACCCCCCCTTTATACCGTCCGTGAAACAAGAGAAATCAACTACCAAAAAAATTTTCTCAGACCAAATACGACCTCCCCCCTCCTCTCCGTGCATTATTGTGGGTGACTTTAAACTACCTGAGTTTTGTCAGGAAAGCGAAGCTCTTTCGAGATCTAGTATCCTGCTTGAAAGAACTCATTCAATGTCATAATCTTGAGCAACACGTTGATGAAGCCACCAGAGGGATATCATACTTGATTTAGTTTTCTCTAGTGCACCGTTTTTGATCAAAGGCTTGACTGTGGTCTCTCCGGTAGGAGTTAGTGATCATAATAGCATTTCGTTCAATCTCATGTTTCAACTACCCTGTCCCAGTTACACTTATCGGCGTATGTACTCAATCGTAGTCTTGCACAAATACCAGAGACCAGAGACAGTTTGAATGAGAAGTACGAGCTATTCTTGTCTGTTCTACACAGTGCGATCGATTTCTTTGTTCCTTGGAAGAGGGTCCCTTGTGTCAAATCCATCTATCTTCCCAAGCACTTGCAAAATATGTGGGAACACCGTGAATGTTTGTTCAATGAAGCTAGGCGATCGAAAAGATGGGATAAGTACAATACCTTCACAAAAAATTCTTCACCCATCTCAAAAAGTACAATATCTATCTGGAGAAGAAAATTATTGAGTCGGGAATGTTAGATGTTTCTATAGGTACCTAAGTAAAAGAATTCAGGACATACATTGTATTGGTTGCCTGCGTAAGGCTGCGTTTATACTTTGCGGCAGCGTAGCGTAGCGTAGCGCAGCGTAGCGTAGCGCTTCCAGCGTACGCCAGCGGCAGTGCCGAAGAGAGGATGCATATCGATCTAGCTTCACCAGCGTCACCAGCGGCACGCTGG